TGAGTCCCCTCAGGGAAAAGGGCGGCCTATAAATAAATAAATCTAAATCTAAATCTACCTTAACTCAGAAAGGATCGATCGATTGATCGATCCAACGAACCAACCAACCAACCAATCCTGTGCCTGGGGCTTTGCCATACCTGTCGATGAGCTATTTTTTCACTCAGATTCTCCCAAAGATGCTTCAGTTCTGTTAGTGGCTCTCTGATGATGTCTCGGTCTGTCTCATCTGTGGCTTTTTTGAGCAAAAGTTCTCCCTGGTGATTCAGCTTCTCCATCTCTATTTGCTGCTGGTATACTTCTGTTTTGAACTCCTGCAGAGAGTACAAAATGAGGATGATGTTCTATACTACTACTATCACCACAGATGCCTCAAGATTTGGAGAAATATCTTGCTTGGCACACACCTTCATCTCATTCAGTTGCTCTTTGACAGTGTTGAGATCTGTGCCCACCGGGGACATGTTGCACAGTTTAATCACTGTGTTATCTAGCCAGTCAAACATAGCCTGAAAGTAGAACATGGACACAAATAAAGGAGAACCTAGTTAACTTCCATCCTACCAAACGATGTACTTTGCTCTTTCCCAACTCTGGCTGTTCTGAGACACACTCCTCCTGGGTCTCTGCACAGAGGCCCCAAGGCTTCATTGACTCCCAGCGTTCCCATCTTCTTAAGACTCTGTCTCCTTCCAGTCTAATGACACTACTCCTTGCGTTGGCCAGGACACCAGTGCTTCAGCGCAGCACAAGACCATTACAGGCTGCACTCAATCCCAGAGAGGAAGTTCACCTCTGCCCCCAACCCTCCCATCCTTTGGCTTCCCATTAGGTGTAAAGGGGTGGGCAATCTTCAGTCCATGACATTTACTCATCCTCCACCACCTCAAAAGCAGTCAAAGTTCATGCGCCTTAAACTCAGTGGCAAAATGGCTGGATTTGAACTGCAGAATTGTTGGGCTCTTCCTAGCACATGAAACTAAAATGGGGATGCTAAGGACCTTCGTAACACCCTTGAGCCCCTCTAAGCCCAGAAAATGGGCATAAAGTGCTCCACTCAACTCCAGCAGCCATCGCTCCATTTCACTGGCCTGGTTCTTGGTGTGAGAATGACCTAGGAGGTGTGGGCTTCAGTAATCTAGGTCTCTGCATTGGTTTCCCACCTTAGCCCTCCAAATCCTCCCCCCCCCCCACAGTGACATTGCCAGGAAACCTCCTAAGGCCAAGAGTTCCAAAGGGAGAGCTTTCTGGGCAGCCCTCCTGCACAGACAGATGCCTCCCCCCCTGCTCCTTTCAGGCCTTCTGGCCTCACCTGCAGATTATCCTGATACTGCACTGCATTCTGCATGGCCTCCTCCAGCTTCTCCAGCCTCTCCTTCCAGGTTCTGTTCAGATGTTCCCAGGCACCGTTCAGCTGCAAGGACAGGAAGAAATGCACAGAAATGCACAATTTGCCAGGGTGGGCGCTGGTGACAGGGCACTGTGGCAGGGGGGCATTTGGCAGAGGTGCCCAGGTCAGTGGAGGGGGAGAGGGAGCAGCTCAGACCAAGCATCTCTGGCCCGCTGTCTGCCTTGCCCTTCCACCTGGCTGGGCTGCCAGTGGCATGAATTTCTTGCCAAGCAGATTAGGAGGAGTCGTACGGAGGAGTCGTACGCAGGTGTCTGTTTGGCCTCCCTGTCCCTCCTCCCAACGTCCCATCAAAGCCCTTCGGTCCAAATCTGAGATGACTATTACCTACCTCATCAATGCTTTTCTTAACTTCTGGTTTCTCCATCTCCCCACAGGCGAAAATCAGATCGGCCCCCAGGATTCGGATGAATTCCAGTTCTTCATGCAAACCGTCTGTCTCTTCCTTGATGGTCTACAGGAGAGGATCAAGAAACAGAGGAGCACAATTTGCCTATCAGAACAACTCACACATAACAGCAACTGTGTTTCTGAAATTGTCTTTGCAATCAGAGTTTATTCTGGAGGGTGATGCTTGTAGAGTAATATATACCTTTGCTATAGAAAAAAAAATACAAGGTAGCACACAAATGTATAAGTACATCAAAGAATGGGATATTTTCAGATTTTCACCAAGTCATTTTCACTCTGCAGATCGTTATTTGAAAGCTATTATATTGAAGAAACATTCTAAAGTGTATTCTTAGAAAAGAACAAGGTCTTTCTTTCCAATACAACCCACCCAAATGCAGTTCCAGGGATTGCTCTGAATAGGAAACTAGAATGAAGAGGCCTCCCTTCCTAAACCTTCTGCCAAGGCTACATTTCCCTTCCTGGCCATCACAGCTCGCTTGAAGGACTCAAGTTATGTCCAATTTGTGAGAAAGGATGAAATTTTCTGTCTTCCTACCTCGGCTGCTTCAATCTGCTGTTTGATTATGGATGGATCAATCCCAGGACTTTCCAGATCATGGACAATGTCTTGGGTATCCCGGATGGTGGTTAGGAGGGCAGCCATGTCATACCAGAACTTTTCCGCCAGCTCCAGGACATCAAGGAACTTGATCTCGCGTTCCTCAGCCCGAGCTTTGATGTCTTCCCAGAAAAATACCATGTGATCTAATTTATCCTGGATGTCTGAAACAGAACAAGGAGGATTAAACTCATGTTCTGTGCTAGGAAGCCTGTGCCTCCCTGCATCTCAGGCCACACCAAGGAAGAGAGGCCGTGTGCCCGTCCTGGGTTTCCAGCGGTTCTAATGCCTTACTTTTGGCTGCCAGGTCCCTGTCTGCCCCCTGGGATCGTCCAATCAGTTCCTCTCCCCGGCGCTTCAGTCCTTCGAAGGATGGCTGCAGCTTGTCCAGCTCCAGTGTGGCATTTTTATTGTCACCAATGCACTCACGGATCTTCTCCACCTCGGCTGGGATCAAGGGAGGCATGCGCAGGCGGGAGGACAGCGTCTCCAGCATCTCCAGCATCGGCTCTATCTTGTCATGGAACTGAAGGGAAGGAATGAGGAGTGAGGTTAACGGCACATTTACATCTTTGCTGCTTTGACTGATTCTTCTTAGTCAACATGCTCTTCTCTATGTGCAATCTTTGCAAATTCTTTTGGAATGTCAGATTTTGGGGGGAATGATTAATTCCAAGACACCAACTTTTTGCAAAACTGGTTGTGTTACTAAGAGCAAATCCAAGAGCCAAGGTGGCGCAGTGGTTAAATGCAGCACTGCAGGCTACTGCTAGATCAGCAGGTCAGCGGTTCAAATCTCACCGGCTCAGGGT